CCATCGCATGAAATTAAGAAATTTATTTAATTACATTGTATATAAATTTGGTACATTTACAAAAAAAAAATGCCATTTTCTGTGAAAATATTTGCAAAAATGCCACTGTCCATTTACAAAAATGCCACTAATTATGATTTTTTAGAGCCTAAATCTTAAAATTTTAAACCCTAAAAAATCTTTTGACCCCTAAAACTCCTTAAACCCTCAAAACTAAACTCTAATACAACATAGTTAACCCAAATATAAATGATATAATGAATAAATAATTTTGAAAAAGTGGCGTTTTTTCAAAAATTATAAAAATGTGGCATTTTTGTAAAATGACACTTGAAAAGTGACATTTTTTGAAATTTCTTTAAATATAAATGGTATGTAATTTGCGAGTTAAGGAAAATATGTTATAATAAAATTTATGGTTGACTAAAATCATCATTTATCAAAATTAATAGGACCTATCACCTATAAATGACCTCAATTAGTTGTCGTCAAAATGCAGTTGAATATCAAAATTTTACAGTTAAAAAAAAGTAGAAAAAACAAATATCAAATTTTTTTTTTTTTGTGTGGGAATTTTGACAAAAAGAAAAAACAGAGTAACGGCCATTTAAAGCGTATAGTATTGTGATTTTTTTTGTTTTTTTTAATTAGCCGATTAATTTGGTGGGAATCAATGGCTAATATATAACACTCTTATGGTTTTAAATCAGTATAATAAACAAGAGATTTGTCCATGAAAAAAAAACAGAAGTAAATAATTTCGACCAAATAAAAACAAATTATACAGGTTTGGATTTTGAACTATCATATACTATAAAAATATACTACTACTCTCTTATCTCATTCAGTAATTTATTAATGAACTCGCTATAACTTGGTTCATGAAACCGGTGGTGGTTAGTAATGTGGTTGCGTTTATAACTACGACTAACCATTGACACGTGTCTAAATGATACTGGCTGTTTCCAACATGTAAACTCGAGAGTTTGGTGGCCTCTTAAATGCTGCAGTTATAAGGCTTGTTTGGTTAGTTGTTCCGCAATTTAATGCTCAAAACCCGGATCTGTTTTCGGATCCTGGTCTTTACCCGCACGCTAAAACTCTCAAGCCCAGCCCATTAAATTGTTTCCATTGTTTTCCATAATTTTATGCTATGGCCCATCTCGGCCCGTATAAATTTAAAGCAAAACTTCACAAGGCGTTGAAAAGGGCCCATCGACGCAGGCATTTTATAAAACGCAACCGCAGAAAACAACGATTCAAATTCTAACAGTATCAGTGTAGAAATTCTGGCGTTTTAATTAATCCAGCGTTTGCGCTTTCAAATAGAAAACAAACATAATTTAATTAGTTGGTAGATGGAACAAGCGTTTTGTAATCAAAGAACGCAAATGAATAATCTAGCGTTTGAATTCTCTTTCATTGACATTTTCGTTGATTGACAAATCTGACGTTTTAATTCATATAATGAGTCTAGCGTTTGCATTTTGATATTGAGAACAAACATAATCTAAAGAAAAAAAAAATACGAAACAAGCGTTTTTGCTATCAAGAATCGTAAAATCACAGAAACTAGCGTTTAAAAAGCCTCTTTCGTTATGCTGCTGCTGCTTCTTATCTTCCGACCTCCTCTGGTTTCGCCT